AATTAGGTTATTAATAAATTTATAAAAATTGTATAAAAATATGTCAAATTTGAGACATTAATTTAAATATAATTACTTTAATTATGTATTTATTTAACATTATTTGTTTATTAATTTTATTTAAATAAAGGATTGCTATTTGCACCCCTTTATTATAAAAATCAGGTCAATTCATGCACTGAAAATGTAAAAAATAAGTTTTGATGTTGATGTGTACGAAGAAGAAAGTACTAGGTAAGAGTGCATTTAGCAATGTATAGGAGTGCAATTAGTCTCCCTAAATTAGATCTTGCTAATGATTTTCGGGCTATTAGCTTTCTTTTGGACTGGTACGGTTGCACGTCATACGCTTCCAGGTGCGTGACTTACGAAAATCCTCTTCAAAATCAGGTCATACATTTATGACCTATGACAAAAAATGTCACCAAAAACTTCCAACAAAAAAGTGATCGCTACGTTGAAAAAACCCACCTTAGGGTTTTTCACTTTTAAAAAACAATGTTATTTACATCATTTCAACGTCAAAATCAAATCAAATAAAATCATACATTAAAAATATAAAAAGTAGCTTTCGATGTTTCCACCAATAAAAAAATTCAAAAACAAACATTTAGATCGATAAATAATATTTTAATAGATGAAAAAAAATACTTCAATAATATAATAAATTGTTGTAATCTTCAAAATGAAAAATACGACGAAGATATCGATATTTTATCACATATTTAATTAATTTTATTATTAAAAAAAACAATATGTACAATATTTTAATTTAAAATACATATAAAAGATTCTAATGCAAAAAACACGCTATGATAAAATTGGCAAATATGAACAAAAAGTAGTGAATCATACCGTGTTTTTTTTTTAATTAATTATTTAAATTAAAGTGGGGTGAGGGTCAAAACATAAAGCCATATGGTTTGTGGGGATATGAATAATAATTGAATTGGAAATTAATGAAACATCACATGTAAAGGGAAATATTCTAATTATTTCTTCATTATTGCCATAAATTATATTTTTTTTATTATTTTCGATTTTATTTGTAGGACCCAATTAAATAATATTTTATATTTTACAAAACCAGATAAATTAAATAAACCTTTTCTTATTTAATTTATATTAAGAGAATGTCTCATTAATTTTTAATAAATATATTTTTTTTAAAAAGGTCGGTTTGACAAATATTTATTATGATTATTATTTGCTCGACTTTATAAGAAAAATTGGCCGGCCGACGTCGGCACCGCACCTATCAGCAGCTGTAGCCGCAGATATCGGCGCTGCCTTTTTAAGACAACACGACCATGTTATGGAAACAAAGACAATATTAGATATAATTATTTTTATATTTTTTTTTAAATAAAATATTTATGAGTTCATAACAACAATTCAATATTTAGGGTTAGTTTGATTTGTATGATTGTTTTTGAGTGGTTCGGATTTTTATAGAGAGGTTTGAATTTAGAAGAATTTGAAATTATTCGTTTGTTTGGTTTGAAGGATTTGAAATGAAATTGAATTTCGTCATTTATAAATAATTTATAAAAGTAATTATATTACATTTTTATTAATTGATTATTACAAAACAAATGTTTTTAGCATTTTTTTAAAACTTTATTTCATACAATCATACAAAATCTGTGAAATTCGAAGCAGCTGCTAATCTAAGATTTCAAATACGGACAATCAAACAAATCAAATATGGGATTGGAATGGATTTGAAATTCAAATCCCTCGAAATTAATCCATTTTATTCCTGAAAATCAAACGAGATCTTATATTATTTAAAATATAAATGAATAATTACGAAAAACGTCTCTAATGATAACTTAGTTGGTAAATGGTAGAGGTAACTTTGTCCAAATACAAGACAAATCTTGGATCCTGATCTATCTGTTGGCCACAACTGCTAGGGGTGAACATGGTATGGTACCGTGTTTTTTTTTTCTCAATACTGTGTACCACCCAATTATAATTGGTAAGCAAATAATTCTACCGTATACCAACCAACTCTACTTGGTATCAACTTTTTTTGTTTAAACCATACCAACATTTCAAAAATTGAAGTCTACAAATTCAATAACATAAGTATAATCTGTTGTCCAAATTATTTAATAAAATAATTACAAATCAAGAGTGGATTGAGACGTGAATTAAGAAGAGAAGGAGACAGGGTTACTGATTATGAGTTAGAGACTTTGGAGGTGGGGTTGCTATGACTTACGAGGCGTTCACCTCTAACTAGTAAGTGAGTAAAAGTAAGTCAACCGAGTAAATAATAAATAAATATAATTTTAAATTAATAACGATTAGATTCAGTACCACGTACCAATCAAGTTTATGAAATTGGTACAATAGTACCAACCAATTTAGTTGGTAACAGTTTAGTCGGTACGGTCAGTATACAATTGGTTGGTATGTCGTAGTCGGTACGGTCGGTTTACAATTGGTTGGTATGTCGTGATACAAATTTGATACCTCTATTAGCCGATGAGTGATCCAGAAACATCTCCTCACAATATATAGTGTCCTTGGAGGCAGGTTCCGTGAATGACTAGTTTGGGGCTGCAGCCTACTTGTCGGTAATTAACTTTTTGTCTAAATTAACAAAAACATAAATAATTTTTTGTTAAATTGTTTTTCTTTTTAATCTCAAATTAATCATTTGTGTTAGTTATTTTTTCAAAGAATAATAAAAAATGAGATATAATACATAAATCAAGGCGTAATATATTTTATTTACATATGCACCTAAAAGAATATATGAATAATGTTATTTTTCCTTTAAAAAAAAGACGTATAATATATGCAATTTGACTGATTTAAATATCACAGAAATCTTATTAAAATATATTGTAATAAAATTAAAATTAATTAAATGCCATGCAAAAAGAATATAATTTCCATGAAATTAATTAAAATAATAGTTGGGGAATAATAATATACTTTTGAATAATTGGTAAAGTAATTAATTACATTAAAATTACTCGATGGTTTTACAAAGTGATCGAAGAAGCATATGCCACTTCTAATCCAAATGCATATGGACTGAGTGCACTCTCTCTTCAACAACTACAATCGCACAAAAATATTTTAAAAAAAAACCTCAATATATATTAAATATATTGAGAGAATAACAAAAAAGAGCTTAAACCAGAGTTAACATCGGTTTAATCGTCACTCCACACTAACGTTCATCGGCGCCGGAGACTTCACGGTGGTGAAACGATAGTGAAAAAACCCATTTGGGTAGCGACTTTGTTCTTCTTGAATTTCTGTTCAATAACTGCTGGTGACGGCTCTGGTTGTTCTTCTTGGCCATGGAGTCGACAAACGATTTCACACGTTGCATGGCAAGAATTAGGGTTTCCTCTGACATGTTTGCAAAGCAAACCCTAAACCAACCCGGTTCACTACAATGACATGAAGAACCGGGCGAGATGTTCAACCCGACTTCATAAACAATCTTTTCCCATAGCTCTAGTTCCCCTTCGAAAGTATCAGAGCTCAAAAGATGTCTCATATCCACCCAACAAAATAAACCGGCGTTGCCTTGAAGGCACCTAATGCCGGTTTTTTGAAGCCCTTTTACGAGCATTTCATGTCTTTGCTTCAATCTTCTCCGGTTTTCCGATAGATATGTTTTAGTAAACGTCTTATCTGAAAGGATTTCAGAGAGTAGATATTGAGTTTGGGACGAGATTAAACCGAAGCTCGACATTTTGGTCGCAGCCGAGACAACACGATCGTCGTTGGAGTAAATGGCTCCGATTCGGAAACCTGGGAGTCCAAGATCCTTGGAGAGGCTGTACACAATGTGGACTCTTTTGCAGACGTCCGTGTTCATGAGGTTTCTGTTTTTGAGGACGTCCATGATACTGATGAAGCTAGGAGAGCTAAAGACAGTTCCTGAGTAAATCTCGTCGCTGATGAGATGGATGTTCTTAGTGGAGATAAAGTTGACGAGGAGGTCGAGCTCATGCAAGCTGAGGGACGTCCCTAATGGGTTCGAAGGGTTTGTGACCAAAACACCCTTGACTTTGAGGTTTTGTTTTTCTGCTTGTTTGTAAGCTTCATCAAGGGCAGATTTGGTAATTCTGAAACCATTCAAGCTTGAACACTGGATTGGTACTATTTCAGCTCCAGTTCTCCATTTGAGATCTCTATCAAACCTATATAACATTAACAATAAATGATCAGAACCATGAACATTGTATGTGGCAGAGCGGTCTTGTTAACCATGTGTCAGATAAACAACTTACCCCGGATAATATGGCGTCGGAATAAGGAAGGCGTCACCGGGATTAGCGAGACAAAACATCAGCGTTTCGTTGGCTGAAGTTGCACCTGCGGTGAGTACTAGGTTGTTTGGATCAAAAGTAACAGTGTTTCCTCTTATCTCTGACATGAACCGAACTAGAGCCTGTAAAAATCGTAACTTTCATTTATTAGTCAACCAAATATATGGAAAGGGAGAAAGAAACAAGGATACATATACATACATATATATATATTTTATATATATATATATATATATTAATGAATGCTTACATTCTTGAAGGCAGGAAGGCCATGATAATCTTGAAAGAGAGCAAGTTCTTTGAAGATAGATTGATTGGTATTAGGTTTGTTGAAGGCAGCTGCATCTGGGTTCTTTTGGAGCCAAGATTCAAGAAGGTCGAAGGACAGTTGATTCTCGGCGAGACCCATCTGGATGATGCCATTGGGATTCTTAACCTCATCAAAAGGATTCTTCTCGTACTCTTCCCATCCCAGGAAGTAGGAGGAATCCTGTCCATGAGAGTTGCATGTGACCTTCGTTGACAACATAATTAATTTCTCGTACGTTAATCCTTCAAACTAAACACGCACAAGGAAACTAAAGAATTGATCGAAGGTGAAAGTAGCAGGAAAGAATTGGTGTGGTTTAATCTGTTCTTAAGATGGAAGAAGAAGCTTTAAAGGGTTTATTGACAGAAAGCAAGAAGGATTGATTTGAAGTGAGTGATTATGTTGGTGTGTTTGAAGGATATATATATAGTCATATAGAGGGGGGAGGTTGAAGAAGGATCCAAGGTGGTAGAGGGAATGCCAAGTGGATCAAATCCTGTGTTGACCGGGAATATCTACATTTCTACAATATTTTTCAAAGACAAAAATGATATATATATATACAGGGAATGGTTCAAACGAGAATACCTTTTTACTATGGACAATCACATGTGATATTATAATTTCATCACATATAATACACATGTGATACTAAATCAGAGACCCGGACGATTTTCGATGCAATCTTGGTTGCGGGCCAAGTCGCCCTTACACCACTAAACCCCCTCACAAGTGTTATCACATGTGATAAGGGTGTTGTTGTTATTATACTATAATTCATCAAGACCATCACATGTGATGCTAAATCACAGACGCAGGCAACCTTTGTCGCGGCCTAAGTTGTAGAACACGTCGTCCGCACATCACAGGGTCCCCTCACGCGTATTATCACATGTGATAAAGGTGTTCTCATGTTCTTGTAAAATGAAGATGTTCTCGTTTGAACCTCCACTTATATATATATATATATATATATATATATATATATTGATTTCTGTACACTAAATTGGTAAAGATACGGGATGAATTTACCGAAATACAAGACACGTTTGAGGTTCGATCATCTCTTTGTATTAGTGTCTTTGGAGGCGGGTTTCGTGTAAAACCGGTTGGGGTTAAATTTCATCCTCACTCATTGTTCAGTAAAATGAAATTACATCTAAAAGGAATAAAAAAAGATTACCGACAAGAAATGAGGAAGAAAATGGAGCAAGGGGTGAAATGACATGCAAAGCAAGGACCCTTCATCGTGTCCTGGTCTACTTGCCCCCCCTCCCTCCCATGGCCCATTTCTTCATTCATGTCGGCCATATCTCTCTACTTCAGACTTCAAGTCAACCTATGTATGGTTCATTCTTTAAACAATTAAGCAAACTAGAAATTGAGTTTTTAAATGTTTTAATAGACTGCTTTATAGAACTTGAAACCAAACATTTATAACGATTTCAACAGGGTTTTTAAGAGTTTTTGTCAAATGTTTTATAATATAGTATAGATTATATTGTAGCTACATATTGATGCTTGCAGATTTGTCAAACAATCATCATGACTTCTTAATTTGAGAGTTCGACCGGTTCTCTCTTTTTAGCGGGTTTTTGGCTATAAAAGCGTTCCTTAAAGTTGACATAATCTCCTAATTAATTAGTGTTAAATTGATATTAAAATATTAATTTTATTAACTAAAAAAGCCGAAGCAACTTTAAGATTCAGACGTGGAAGTTAAAAATGGCAACAATTGGAAATGAGTATTCCGCCATTGGTATTTGCCAACTGATTTTGAATCTAAAATTATAAGTATATTTAATTATTTAATTCTAATAAAGGAAGACTCCATAGCATTCAAAGCTAATTAACACATTAATTAGTGCTTACTTATCTTTTGGTCTTGAAAATCACAAAATTAATTAATTATATTCTATGTTTTTATATTTGTTTTTTCCAAGTTACAGATATATATAAAATAATTATGCCCTTTGAAGTTGTTACGTCTCAATAAAATAACCAATACAACAATATTAGGTTTATAGAATATTAGAAAAGTATTCGTGTAATGCATCGAGACACATCTCGATTCTAATGTTCTATTTTATTATTTGTCTATGTCGATGTTATAATACGATTTTATGTGTTTTTAATAAAACATTAATGATTTTATTTTTGAATAAAATATAAATTTGAAAATATCATAAAAATTTGAAAAAAAAAATATGTCAATGTTAATATCAAATCAATTATTTAAAAGTTCTCATTTTTTATGTAATTTCTTTAATTTATTTTTTTATTATAACTTAATTTAAGTTTAATAACGAAATAATTTATTTTTGGTTCAATAATATAAACATTTTAATATATAATAATTAAGTATTCTGTTAGAACTCAATGATTATCCTAATTATATTTTATATTTTTTATATTTAAAATGATATGTTTATCTTGTATTTGATTATGTTTATCTGCAGTTAGTTACACGAATTCAGATATGGAGCTTTAATAAGTTGTACTTACGCACAATCTACTTGCAATCTTGAGTTTTAAGTAATATGCAGTAATAAATAGTATTTTACGCATAAAAAGTGGTTTTCAAGATTTTTTGTCAAATATTTTATAATATAGTATAGATATAAGAATCCATGTTTAGATGATTTTAAAGGCGACTTTTATATAGAGCTTGTTAGAGTTGTTGGTAATCAACCTTTTGTTCAAATTTAACATAAATAATGTTAAGTATCTCAACCACTATTGATAATTTATAATAATTAATTAAAACTAAATAATATTATAAAATTATTTGTCTCAACAATTTGATTTGATAATAATACAAATATATCTGATCCAACAACCTCAAGTGTCAAGTATCCAAATTTGATGTTCGGATTCAGTACTCAATATTAAGACTTGGTATTTGGTTTTTGATATCCGGATATTGCATTCAACATCCGAATTTGGAATCTGAACCAGTCATTCAAATGCAACATCTGGTCCTAGTTTTCAGAAGCCAAAATGATCATGGTCTTTTACATCATCCGAGTCTTATACTTTATATATGTGAATTTATGTCCATATGGTCACACATGTTCATCATCTTTCGCATGTTTATGTGGGTCAATATGTGTTCATATTTATACCAACTGTATATATAGGTCAATATGTTTTCGTAATTGACACAAGTGTTCATATATGTCAATTTTTGTTTGTAAGTGACACAATGGTTCATATATGTCGAGTTGTATTTATATGAGTGTACGAATGTTCTCATATGTGAATTTGTATTCATATGGTCACACGTATTCATCATCTCTCGTATATGTTAATTTGAACGATACCGAAAATTTTACTACCAGGTCTACTCCATCAATCACAAATTCATAAATATCAGAGATAGAAAATCAATATTATAAAAAATAACAAGATTAATAATAAGTTAACAGAAATCACCATCCCTAGGTCTTACTTTCCTAACTTTTGCAATAAATCTATATAACTATTTGTTTTTAAAAAAAAAAAGTATTTAAAAAGTAAAAATTTATTTTGTTTATATTCAACCCACATTCTATAAAACACTTATCGTCTTTAGTCAAAATCAAAAGAATTACGTAACTAGTAAGTTATTTTATTTTATTTTATTACATATTTGGTAAAATATAAAATTAGGATTTTGTTTTTATAGGATTATTTTGTGACAGTAATATTTAATTTTTGTCTTTTTATTGAGAAAATATATAATTTTGATGAAAAATAAATTGTTGTTTACAATTTGCAATAATCAACTTGAATTTAATGTCTTAGTGAGTATCTTAGTTTTCATTCATGACGCGATGGGTGATTTTTTTTATATTTATACTATTTTATAAAATATTTGACAAAAACTCTTCAAAATCATTTTTTATGAATAAAATATTGTTTATTGATGCATATTACTTAAAATTCAAGATTACAAGTAAATTTTGCGTATGTACAGCTTATTAAAGCTTAATGTTTGAATTCATGTAACTAATTACAGATAAACATAATCAAATAGAGGATAAACATCTCATTTTAATTATAAAAAATTTGAAATATAATTAGAATAATCATTGAGTTCTAACAAAATACTTCATTATTATCTTTATAGAAAATTGTATTATTAAACCACAAACATGAATTAAAGAAATACACAAAAAAGGAGAAATGTTTAAGTCATTTTGATATTAATATTAATATTTTTTATAACATCGATCGAGACAAAAAAAAAATAAACATTAAAATCGAGATGTATCTCGCTGCATTGTACAATTACTCTTTTAGTTTATCGTAAAGAGAATACTCTTTTTTCGTTTGAATAAGATTAAAAAACATAAAGTATTCAACATTATTTGTTTAATAATAATAAAAGTGAAAAATTTCTCAATTTATTATAATTAATAGTTAAATCAAGTCAATGTGACAAATAAAGAACGAAAGATGAAGGTGCACACTGTTTACTCCTTGTTTCTTTTTTTCATTTTCAGTTCTTAATTATCGTTTATGTCTGATTGATTCAGACGTTTTTAATTCAGACTGTTTGTTTTAAGAGAATTTGAAAAGCTAGAGGCTAAACTTATTTTTTCAAAATTTATGATAGCTTTTTAAATATATAATATTTATATGTAACAAATAAGGTTGGGTTCACGTGAGACCAACGGTTTTTCGTATGACTTGTAAGACCAATTTGTGTTCATTGATCAACTTTATAAGCTAATGATCTAATGGTCTAAAATTGCACGATGACAATTTTGTAATTATTGAGAAGTCTCGTGGCAATTTTGTGATTATGAATGTTGTGATTGTAGATCTAATCCAATGATTAAGAATTGGTCTTACAGGTCTCACGAAAAAAATTTGGTCTCATATAATTCCATCTCTCTCTCTCTTTATATATATATATATATATATATATATATATATATATATATATATATATATATATATATATATWYGTCCACTTTCTTGAGATTGAAATTTTTGACCTCTACTAATATTGGGTTACCAGATAAGAAACACCTTTAGTCAAAGTCTCTATAAAGATAAAATTTCATATAGTGACAACATCAAAAATAGTAATATTTTAAAAATCTTCTTGTGGCCACGAAAGTTTAAATGCGGTGACTCCAAGCCACCCGCGAAGCGGGTGATCGTTGTGGGATTAGTCGGCTCGTGTAGCGGGTTGGATATGCAGGTTAATAAAAAAAAGTCATATTTAAAAAAAATAACATTTTATAAAATTTACAGTAAATAATCACATTTTACAAAATTAATCTCATAAAACAAAAACCACATGTTGTTTATTTTTAGTAAATGTTATCATAGAAAACATTTAGTTTTTAAATTTGAAAA